AAGCAATCGGTCTTCGTTCCTGCATAAGAACCGCTCCAACCCCTATCCCCGATGCATCACATTCTACCACAAATAGGCGGTCAAACTGGGGCGCATGGCTAGCACAGGTGCTTCGGTCATGGCCTTCTGAAGTTGGCGGAAAGCCTTCTCGGCCCTTTCAGTCCACTCAAAACGAGTCAAAGCTTCCTTTTTTAAAAGATCCGTAAGAGGTCGTGCAATCAGTCCGTATTCTCTCACGAACCTTCTGTAATAACCAGTCAATCCTAGAAACCCCCGGACCTCTCGGGCAGTCTTCGGTCGAGGCCAATCTGCCACCGCACTGACTTTGGCCGGATCCATGGCTACCCCTGCTTGAGAGATGATGTGACCGAGGCATAGTTATTACGGCGTCGCTGCATCGTCGCCTTGGCGTCGCCTAGGCGTTGTGGCGCCCAAGGAAGATTGCCATGGAAGCTCGACTCGCCACAAGGCAATTAGGCTTCGCCGCCTCGTTTCCGCATCTTCACTGCAGCGTTAGAAAGAAGCCATAGACGCCAGACAACGACGCAGAAGTGTGACCCGATGATTAAGAACAGGCCCAAACCCAAATCCAAATAAAAAAGTTAACCTATCTGGCAAATTGGGCGACTCTAAAAGTCACCGCCATCCCAAACGCTGAGTCGTTACTCGTCAGCCAGGTCGTTTGTACTTTGTAGTTCGCATCTAGTCTCAAGTTCTCAATATCTTCCTTCTGCCAGGTAATTCCGTCGTCGTCGCAATTTTGGGACAAGCATCGGATATGTAGTGCGTATTAGTTTTATTTGCTTCAGTATTTTAAAAATTCCCGTGCAAAATTTTTAATTTACACGGTTTAGGCTTGACTTGTTATTTTGCTCCAGGATTTTCCTTTACTGTCTAGTGTAGTAAATTTTCCTTACACGGTTTAATTTCCTTCACTATTTTTTGTATTTCTTTTTTTGGTTGCTCCAGTAGGGTGTGTTAATTGCTTTATATTCTTTCTATTCTATGAAAACAAATTTGAGTTTTCTCTACTAGGTGAAATTTCAGTTTTTTTAATACTTGTATATATTTATATTTAATTTTATTAGTGTCTTGAATTTATGCTGAAATTTATGTTGTGTGTAATTGTGTTGTATTACATTTAATAAATTATTTTTAATTGTTAGTGAAATTTCCATTGTTTTATTTTGTATCTAATAATTTAATAACTTTTTAAATAATTTAATAATTTAATAACTGATATCAAATACCAATGAAACTATGGATCCATCAAAAGATCCTATCAAAAAACCCAGATCGAATGATCCCGGATGAAAGTTTGATTTTTTGCCAGATCGAAAAGAATAACCAGGATTTGGTGGAATTCTCACTTTGTGGTTATGGTTTTATGGATTATGTTGTCTCTATGATAACATGTTTTATTACTTCATTAAGAGTATATATGTGTTACATGTAGCATTTCAGTATATAAAACATATTATAGATTTATTATTGTACCTATGTCGACTTATCGCCGCGATGTCGCCACGACGGGCGCCATGTCGCCATGGCGGTGTGGCAGCCCGGAGGCGCCACGCCGCAAAACCCCGCCGTAACAACTATGGACCGAGGTACTCCACCTGTGGTTGTCCGAAAGCACACTTCTTTTTATTTGCTCTGAACTGATTCTTCACCAGGATTTCCAATACTTGGTCTAAATGTTCTCGGTGTTCGGCCCATGATTTGCTGTACACCAAGATGTCATCAAAAAACACCAGTACAAATTTCCGCAAATAAGGTCTAAATAAATCATTCATGACGGCTTGGAAAGTTGCTGGTGCGTTGGTCAGCCCAAATGGCATTACCAAAAATTCATAATGCCCACTGTGAGTCCGGAAGGCGGTTTTGTGGATGTCTGGTTCTGCCACCCTAATCTGGTGATACCCAGAACGCAAATCGATCTTAGAAAAGACCACAGCCCCAGCCAACTCGTCTAACATCTCCTGGATCACCGGAATAGGGTACTTATCTGCCACTGTTGATTTATTCAGTTCCCTATAATCCACACAAAACCGCCAGCTGCCATCTTTCTTTTTTACTAACAGAACTGGACTGGAGAATGGACTGGAACTGGGTTGAATGAGGCCGGCCTGAAGCATCTCATCAACTAATCTCTCAATCTCATCCTTCTGTAGATGACCGTACCGATATGGCTGTACGGAAACTGGTTTTGCCCCGGAAACCAGCTCGATGCGGTGGTCCCTAGTGCGATATGGTGGCAGCCCTTGTAATTCAGTGAATACTTCCGTATGTCGGCTGAGAATGTCCTCCAATGATTCCATTGATGCCCTCGCTGTTTTGCCGGTTTCCCTGACGAGGACAACCGCACTAAACTCTCTATCGACTGTTTTAAGAAGAGTCCTCAAACTGACTGCATTCTTACTCATTGCTGGATCACCCCGTAATTCTACCTGCCTGCCATTAAGTTTGAACTGCATGGTTAATTCCTTCCAATTGGTTCGCACTTCTCCCAATGTTGCCAGCCAAGCCACGCCTAGTATAAGGTCCACTCCAGCCAGGGGAAAGACAAAACAATCTGTTTTGATAGCACATCCTGGTAAGTTAATGGAGAGTTGACGGCATACTCCTTCAGATTCTTGTCGGTGCCCATCCCCCAATTGTACTCCGAATCTTCCAGTCTTATCCTTTCTAAGGCGTAATAGAGATACCAAAGAAGAAGATACAAAATTATGACTGGCACCGCTGTCAATTAATATTGTGGTCGTGCACCCTCCAATAGTTCCGCGGAGCCGCATAGTCTGGGGGCTGAAAATTCCGGCCATAGCATAGACCGGGAAATCGCCCTCCTGTCCCTCGGGAGAGTCATCGTCGGGTGGAAATTCCTCCTGTCCTGCTATGTCGCAATAATCATGTTGTTGTAGGTCCAACTCTTCGTCTTCATCCACCAGTATCACCCGTAATTGTTTTAACGGGCATTCGTGTCCTGGAGAGTAGGGCTTCCGACACTTGAAGCATAGTCCTCTGGCGCGTAAATCATCGTAAACCTTTGGGGGTATTCGAGTGAATCTGGAACGTTCTGTGGGCTGCCCAGATGTTCCGGTAGTAGTCCCGGCGACTGGTGGTGTGGAACCCGCTGTGGGTCCCATGGGCCGAGACATGCTGCTCCCAAAATTTCGCGCGCTTCCACTGGCGGTGGCCGAGAGAGAACCCGTGTTTGGTCGTGGATAACTGCTACTTCGTGATCCAGTGGAATTGTAACCCGATCCTCCTTTTCCTCCGCTCTGAATGATTAGTTTATGTTCAACGCCAAGGGCCAACTCCATAGCCGTTTCTAAACAATCCGGACGAAGTAAACGCAGCGAACATTTAATTTCTTCTTTCAGCCCGTTCATATAATATCCCATATAATGATCGTCCGATAACCCCGGAACTTGGCTTGCCAACTGGACAAAAAGAGTATTGTAATCTTCTACCGTACCTCCTTGCTTGACTCCGGATAGACGTTCAAACCGGTTTCCCTGGTATCGGGAATCAAATCTAGTCACCAGGGCTTGTTTGAAATCTTCCCAGCATATATTGGGTTTGCGTGATCTCAGCCACGTAATCCAGTAGAGCACTCCTCCTTCCATGGCTACCATAGCGGCAGCCACTTTCCGATCCGGTGGAATCGCCTGCAACTCAAACTGCTGCTCCACCCGAGCTAACCACCCAATCGGGTCCCCCCCATCGAACGTGGGTAGTGGCGTTGGCATAGAATTGCGCCCTTCCCCGTCGATTGTTGGCACGGTCAGCGTGCCGACGTTAGCGCCTACCGCGTCGATAGCCGGTGATTTAGGAGGTGTCAACGCCTTCGTTATTGCGGCCAGCGACGACACGATTTCTTCCAGCTTCGCACCGTGTTCACCGAGCGTCAGGGTCATGGATTCGAGCTTCGTGCTATGGTCGTCAAGGGTCTGGTTCATTCGGATCTGTTCGGCCCCCAATCGGGCCACTTCTTCTCCAACGCGACTTTGTTCATTCTCCAATTCTTGCAAACGTTCACTTTGAGATCTAGTCATGGTGGCGGGACGGGATCCGGCAGGTCGGACCAAATTGATAAAAACAGACAATAACAATCAACGGAAATAACCGTTGCCAAAGCTTGAGAGCTTAAACACACAAATTCTTATTAATAAAGCATCGTTTGAAATAACCCTCTTGAGGGGATTAAATAGACTACAAGTCCTAATTAAAGAAAAACTCCAAAATAACATAAACTAGGAAATAACATAAACTAGGAAATAAACTGGAATTAGGAAACTAATTAAACTAGGAAATAACAATCCAATTAATTCTTCCAGCCAGCCTAGCCCACGGATGTGGGCTTTTCCCGATCCCGCCTGCGATACACGATCAAAGGCCTGGGGCCTTCGTCTTCCTCGGTCGCACTCGCCTGTCTTTCTTCTTCCTCGGTCGAACGAGCCTGCTCGCTATCAGATACCTTAAATAAAATTACACTAGATTTATTATAACTAACTTCTTTAAAAAAAGACTGTCGGGACAGAAATTAAGTTTCAAGGAGGATTCCTTTTGGGGATGGGAGTACTATATATTTTAACTTTGTATGATATTGTTTTGTAATTTAGATATATAACTTACTAACTTATTTATTTATCAATAATAAAGTGTATTTTGGCTTGAGAATATGATGGAATAAAGCAAAATGGCTCACTAGAACTGTCTGCGCTTCTTTGTTATGAAGCAACAGTCAGTCCATGCAATTATGGACGCGGTTTTCACTATGGGTCTTCCGGAAACAGTCTCTATGTGCTTTAGTACAGGGGTAAGACTGCGTACATCCGAACCCTCCCCCTACCCCACCTTAGGTGGGAGCCTTTTCAGCACTGGGGTGATGATGATGATGATTAAAGTGTATTTTGGCTTCTGGATATGCCAGAGTGCTTGACTTAGGTTGAATTTGGCGGAAAATAGGCAGAGACTTTACCAAAAATGCTACGTACCTGCTGATTGGTTGGTATAGGTTCAGTTAATGCCTTAGTTTCTAACTCCATATCTTCTACATCACTCCTTGAAAGAGAAGGAATAGAAGCCATGGAAGAGGACTGGGAGTATCTCCTCTCATTACTACATTCTTCAAATGCCTCTGAATGATAGACTCCTTTCCCTGACGTTATACTCTCCTTTCCAGTACTTGAAACTTCATTATTTAGATACCCTAAATCATCTAGTCCTGCCATCATCTTCTTCAATGGTTCCAATACTTCATCCCACCAATGCGAGTTTGCTCTTTTTGACCTTATTTTGTACCACTTTGTGCAGTATCTAAAAAAAGAAAAATTGTTTGATTATCATAAATTTATACATATTTGCTCCCTCCCAAAAAAGTATATTTAAAACTAATTTTCCCCACAAGAGAGCCCATTTGAGCAAACGAAGCTGATTTACATCATATTTAATGTATAAATTTCATAAAAAAATCTGACAAACAAGTTTAAGCGTGTTAAATTTGCTTAAAACCATAAACTGCAAGTATTTATAAAATTCATGATTTCCAATAGTTCTACTTTACCGAAAATTACAAGTTGTACATTAATCTAACCGAACTTGTTTTAGACGGAGGAAGTATTTAGTTACGTCAACACAAATTCGAGTGTTCTAAATTCCACTAAGACAAATATGGCGAATATATATATACAAATAAATGTCATATATGGCTATATGCTAGTAGGATTTTAAGAGGTTTTATATAAGCACAGTCAGAAAGGAGATTCTTTATAAAATCATTTAAAGTCTATAAATCAATATTTGATATCTCTTCAGAACTCATTCTTTTTATATAGTTCTATTATATATAAAGGGTATGAACTTTAAGTACATTCATTTCGAAATGATTGATCAAATTTGACTTTCCTTAATACTTTCCAAATGTAAAGGCAAATGTTAAAAAAGCTTTTAGTAAATTTTTCATTTCCCTACCAATTTCCTAGTTCCAAACATAGCCTGAGGATTATAAAAAACTGATATATCCAAAAAGGGAAGAAAAATGGAACCTGCGGGTCACATCTTTAGCTCCATTTCCCGCAAAAGCAACAACATATATCAAAGGAATTTTACATGCAGCAGCAGCAACTTCCACGTTTTGCTCCCCGTCAACAATTGCATTCACAGAATCTACATGTACCCATTTTCCGGTCAAGTTCTCACCACTGCAATAGACTTCTGCCCAGTATAGTGGGGCTCCTACCTTTTTTGATCCAATAGCAGTAGAAATTCCATCTGAACAATCTTCTGATATTTTGTTCTTTATTTTGTAAGGTGAAAGGTTTGATGATGTGTGTAGTGGTTCCTCCAATTGTTGGACATAATTTTCCCGAACACTTTCAACTGCTGTGGCAGAAAGAGCCATTTCCAACTGTAACTCAAACTCAAGATCTCCTTTTCTCTTTGATTGTTCTATCTGAGCATTAGACTCTGACTGATTCAAGAGTCCATGCTTCATAGTGTCAGTAAGAGATGAATCATAGGATTTAGATGAATTTTCTAATGGCTTCCCACCATTAGTTTTGTTTGCATCACTTGGGGTCTGTTTGGGATCCAGAAAATACTATGAATACAAGTAGGGAAAAAATCACATACGGAAATTAGAAGGAAATAAAATGTGGGTCAAAATAAAAGGATGAGCTAAAATCATGAAGTTATTTTTACATGCTCGTTGATGATCTCTTTATTTATAAAGTTTGTTCTATTATACATTTATACAACATCCAAGCCTTAGTCCCAAAAGACGAAACTCAAAAGTTTGCCCTATTATATGAGCAAGAAATGTAAATGCTTCAAAAATCTAAAGACACACTAATCTGATTTTTTCCTTTGCACTTTTCAAGGTAAGCTAAACTAAAGAAATAACTTTCTTTAGTGTTTTTATTATGAAGTCCCAAACATTTCGGGTGATCCAAACATACCCTTGAGGAACTTCTGCTAACACCTCTCTTGTAACTAGATATCAGATCTCTTACAGCAGGAGAATGACTTGATCCAGCAACCATCAATGTTGAGGATTTAAATATATCAGTACCTGCCCGTCTAGATAAATAAGGTTTTTCTGCGCCAGGCTTCAAAGGGGACACGTCCAATATGGATACAAACCTATGAATAAATATTGTTGTAACAGTAAGTGCATACTTTAATCCACATTAATAAAAAACAGTCTTTAATTTATACTAACACATTGCGAACACTACCTTTCACTTCTTGCCATTGGTCTCAATGGAAACAGCTTCACTATTTTTTAGGGGTAGAGGTGTACGTCTGACCCTCCGCAGACCCCTACTTTTGAGTGGGATATACTGGGTTTGTTTGGTTTGTAACTTTGTTTGGTTTACTGATTTACTTCCTAGTTCCTACATCCCCACAACGATGCAAACTCTATATGGGTTGTGCATTTAGTTTTCCATTCCCATGGTTAAACCTGTTTAATTTTTCATTCCTATAGTTCCAAGATATAAGTAATTCATTATTTAACTTTATCAAAGGGTAAAATGGGAATACATATAAGATTAATTATTACAACTAACATAACAACCATTAGTCTACAAGCCTATCTTTGTGGGGTAATGGGAGTACAATGTCGCTGCTGCTAACTAAGACCATTTCAGAAAAAATCCAGTGAGAATTGAGGCCACTCTCTTGCAAAAGGCATTCTTAACAAACATCGGAAACAATGTGTAGAGCTCAAAATCAATATGTTCTTAAAAAATTTACGATCAAGTCACCTAGATGTAATATTTAGAGCCCTTAACAGTGCCACAAACAAACCAGCAACCTGCAAAACATATATATGTGAGTAAAGACTAAAGAAGCAAAGTCCCTCCACAGAAAGGAAATAAATACAATAATACCCACAAATCTGAAGAACAACGCTTGAAAATGGATGACAAAGCTTATCCATGAATCCATCTAATATATTTCCATGTAAGAACCTACAATCCAAACATATACTCCGTGTAATGTTTGTTATTAGTCTATTTCACAACTTCTTTCTTAAATTTTTTCCGGCTACATATATATTTATCATCCTCCACCTCAATCCAAACACTGTTGAGATAGGTGGCATGAAAATTTACGCTGGACGATCTTCCTGAGTCGCTACTTCTTATGAATGAATATCTATCACCATTTGTTCTTTCTACTCTCATGGAAAATATCATGAGATGGCTTAGACAAGATAGTTGTTCTGATCATGTTCAATTAAAAAATTAATAATGTAAAATCAACATGTGATGGATAAATATGCATACATTTGTAGAAGACAATCAATCATATTCATATCAACACAAATATTCTGGTCAGGAAATTCCTGACCAGAGCACCGTCCAGACACCTCATTTTGAGGTGATTCCCGCTGGTATTTTTGCTGAAATTTTGTGTGCATATTCTCCATGAAGTGTAGATTATGTCCACCAAATTTCAGCTAAAAATTCAATCGGGAAGGCAGTCAAATAAGTTTTAGAAAATAACTGCGTTTTATTTGTATATTTTGGTGCAGTTATCTTCAAAAAATTATTTGATTGTCTTCCCGATTGAAAATTTAGCTGAAATTTGGTGGACATGATCTATATTTCATGGAGAACATACACAAAAAATTTCAGCAGATTAGTCTGACCAGAAGATTAGTCTTCATATCAATTAGAATAAATTAGTTTTGCTGAGGGACAACTGGAAAATTATGTAGTTGTTGGCATTCGGGACTCTTGAAGAGTTCTCTTCTATTTATTTAGTATGTCTACCCTAACCTACTTGTATCATTTGCATTCCTCTTTACAACCAACATAAAAAATCAGTAAAAGGCCATCAAAGAAAAGTCATGATTACATAAATCAGAATTCTATTTCTTTCCTAACGTGCAATACAGCCAGTACTCTGCCATCGTCAATACATTGACTGATACCCTAAGGCAGTAAGGGAAAATGGAAATAACATGCCTCAGTAGACTATTGGTGATGTTTAACATAAATAATTGATAGGAGACCAGGTACTACTAAAACTATGTACTAATGTAAAATAATAATCATTTGGAAAATGTCAAGGATTATAAGTTGTACGGCCAGTAATCACAAGTAACTTTTGATCATATACAGACTGACTTCCTATGGTTGCACTTCTAACATCAACTGACAGAAAACATAGAAATGTACTGATAGGCTCTTGCTTTATATGTTAAAAATATATACCACTTCAAGGCTTCCTTCCCTAGATGCAATAGTAGATCTCATCGCTAAATGTATAGATTCCTTGGTAGCACTTGGACCTCCAACACAGAAATGTTTATGGAACTGCATTGTTGGAGAAAGTATGAGTCTATAAGACTATTTGTTCAAAAGATACAGGAATAAAATTTTACAAAAACATACCCAACTAACAATAGGAGATAGAGACTTTGAGGTAAGGCTTGGTCCATCTGATATCTTCAACAAGTGAGTGGGAAGAAGTGAAAGTAAAGAAGCCTGCCATAAATTAACTTTCAGTGTGTGCAGTGATAGGATTTTGAGGTTACAGGATTACAACTTCTGGTAAAAACGAAGATAGTTTACTAAGAGCAAAGAAAATTGCTAATGCATCCATAGGAAATATTAGAGTCATTGTAATAGCATAACAAAATTTTAATAAAAGGTTTAATGGTGAAAAAAGGAAACGTTTACAATTTGTTGCGATTTTGGCGAAATATGTAGGAATTTTCAATTAAGCCACACTTTTGCATGTTTAGCCAATTCATTGAAAAAATTGTCAAAATAGCAACACAATCGCAATTGATTGGATAAATTGCACGATGTTTGCAGAGATATAGCTGTATTAGAAAAATGCCAAAAAGCAAGAAATTTGAAGTATATAAGTTTTTACCATTCGATCTATTAATCAAATGGTTTCTCATAACATGTAAATACTATGAAATGCTATAAAGAGGACTAAAGCTCCAACAATGCAAAGCATAGAACTGTTAAAAACCTGAATGAGAGGATCATTGCAAGCACAATCGACTAACCTCCCCCTCCCAAGCAAACAAAGCAAATGAACCTTATGTACAAGCTCAGCCAAATCCTGAATTGAAATTATTAAAGTTATCAACATTAAAATGGGAAAACATGAGTTCTAGAAAAAATAATACTCCCTCCGTCCCGAAAACAACTTCCCACTTTCCTTAAATGGATGTCCCAAAATTAACTTCACATTTCAATACTTTCCTTATTTGGCAAATTATCTATATAAAAAAAGTGATAAACAGTGCCAAACAGTGTTTAAACAGTGCCAAACAGTGTTTAAACAGTGCCAAACAACCTTTTCTTCAGCAGTGAAAGTCCAACCGGGAAGTTGTTTGCCATTTCTTGCTGAAGAAGAGGTTGTTGGACACTTTTAAACAGTGCCAAACAACCTTTTCTCCAAACAGTGTTTAATATGCCATATAGAGTACTAAATGGAATAAGAAATGCAATCAACCTTTTCTTCAGCAGTGACACGACGTACAGTCTTCCGTTTAGCAGAACCTTCTGGAACATCAAACTCAATGGTTACTCCAGCTTTTTCTGAAGATGAAGCAGGAATTGACCCATCTTCCCAATCTAGTTCATCTTCTTCAATATCAGGTTTCAGATGCTGAGAATTCTTCCCACCAGCTTTTACTTCTGGTGAAGTATTTTGCATTATGTCCATGCCATCAGAAATAGCACCAAATGCGGGTTTCGTAGGTTGCTTGCCCTTACATTGTGATTCACTCAATATCTAAGAATCAAATTGAGTGCACGATTAGGGGGGATTGGAGTTTGCGCCCACTTCTTCATCAAAACTTAAATTTGCACCACATTTTTTAGATTGAGTACCTCATTAGTACTGGAGTTTGCAAACAATTATTAACCGATTTTTCTATCTTCAGAGTGCAAACACTAAAAATATTTAAAATGATGCTCAAACTCAAAATTCGGTAAAAAGGTGGAGCGCCCACTCTAATTCTCTAATTCCCCAACATAAATCAGGATATCACATAGAGATTGAATGGACAACCAGCTAAGCAGCACCCCTATTGGTTGCATAGAGAGGCATAGAGACACACCAACCTTTCCTGAACAATCACTACACCGGTGCAGATAAGTATCATCAGCATTTGAGAATCTAGAACCTCCAAGTGACCTTGCTTTTTTTATAAGCTTCCGAACTGAATTTCTTGATATGTTTTCGAGAGTCTCTGGAAGCATACAGTTACATGCTTAAGACTTAAGGGTACTATCATACTAGGTTTTGTAGCTTAGAGAAACAAATAAATGGAGAATTGCAAATTGCAAAACAAACCATTATGTTCCACTGAAAAACTGCTTTGTCTTTCTGAATCAAGACAAGAATTGCTAACCGCTGGCCCATCAGCTACCACAAGAGAAAGATACCAATTAGAACACAGCAATACTGGACGAAGGTGAATAATAAAATTATAAATTTTAGCATCCCATCGATCTTTTGATAACACCGAACGTATACATAATGTGGTATGCATGCACATATAATTAAGTACTGTGATTATTATTTGCTATGGAGTCAAAGATTCACTATTTTTGGCTTGGAATATGACGGAATATAATTAAGTACTATGTGAACTGCTCTTCTTTGTTATGATGTAATTTGCGAAGAGATTTTCACTTTGGGACGTTCGGAAACACAGATTTTCAGGCTACTCACATCCCACCCCCTTAAAGCGCTGCAGTTGGGGTGATGATGATGATGAATGATGGTCATTATCAAACAATTAAGTGAAAGATATGCGTAGCTTTATGTAATAACGATGGAGAAAGCCCTAATTACATAACGACAGAGTTAAGAAGGGAAACAAAAGTAGCCGTTTCTTAGGAGAGTTAGCGGGTGGGGGTACCAGCGGACTGTTTGAGACGCTTGGAGTTACTACGGGTTCTCATTTCCGACGAACTGATTCGATTCTATTCTGTGTCGTGATGAGGCAGGGCAGAGAGCCCGGGAAAAGAAGGCCAGCACGCGGCTGTCCCGTCCGCTTTTCAACCGCAGGCGTGAGGCGGATCGTCTCACTGGTCACTAGCCTATCTCTTTTCATTTTATCCATTCATGTGAGAGGTAAAAACAAGTTATTTTATTTGTGAACATGATTCATGAGTTTTGATAGGCGTACACATATCTGTCACAGAAAATTCATTTGTGTACAACTCATTTTTCTCATTTGAAGGTAGAACATCATGGATGCTTTTCTCAAGTAGTTTGGAAACCGGAGCGCGTTGGAAATTGGAATGGTATCATCGTAGTCAAGGAGATAATCCTGGACTCGGGTCGGGCCTAGGCTCGGTCGGGCCTCCGGTCCTGGAATGGGGGGCCCGGAACCGGCCCGTCCTTCACCCGGTTCCGGTTCAGGCCGGGTCACCCGCCTGGTCCCGGGTCGGGTCGGGCCTAGGCAATTTTTTTCCTTTGTTTTACAACTTAAATATGAAATACATTTTTCAAAAAATACTAATACAATAAATTCTAAGTTGTAAGTTGTAAGTTTGTAACCAACTAATTAATTAATTAATTTGAGAAGTGATACATATAAAAAAACGAATGTATATTTATTTGAAATATGAACTACAATTTTACAAATTACAATAGAGAATTGAGGGAAAAATTAAAACATGAAATACATTTTATAATAAATTGTAAAATAGTAATCAATCGGAATCTCCGGCATAGGAGCCACCTTCAGTTGTTGATTCATCCATAAAGTCTTGGGAGGGTGTGATGCTAATTTCTTGACATCTACGTATGGCCTTCAACCAATCGTGGTAGCATATAAGCGTCTCAAGAGACTCGGCGCTCAAACTCGTTCTAGATGCCGTTAGAACGTTGCCGGCCGAACTAAATTTTTGTTCTACGACAACTGTTGAAACCGGCATTGATAGCACTTGCTTAGCCATCCGTGTCAAAATCGGGAACATTCTTTCTTTTGACTTCCACAACTTTAAAACGTCAAACTCCTCATTTTCGTCAAATTCTACCTCATAATTTATATACAAAGAAATCTCATTAAGTGCGCTTTGTTCAGTAGTGTGAGTTGTTTTAGGTTTTTTCATAAGATTGTCAAAATCAGATTTAAAAAGTGATTTTCCTTTAGAGGAAGATGTGTGTGTCGGAGGAGGGGGCGCGTTGCCACATTGTGCACGAAACTCATTAAATAAGGCATAAAATAAATTACTAATCTCGTTGTATTCAACTTGCAGATCTATGGCGTTATCGTCATACATTGGAAATGGACCAAAAAAGCATTATAATATAACTTCAAACATTCTTCCAAATTACCAAGTCTATAACGAGAATCGAGAATAAATGCAATACCATAAATATGCGAAATATGTACATAATGTTTTAAAAACTTTTCCTTCATAAAACCACAAAAATAACTCACGTAAGCGGCATTCTCAAATTCATTAAAAGCACCGGCGAGATTAATAAATTCACGAATAAATTCGTTTGAGGTAGGTTTATAAACATGACTAAAACTATCAGTTGCATTATTAAAATGGATCAATACATTACAAATTTTTTCGCAAGTATCGATGTGAGCGGGTTTAAAATATAGTTATCATATTGTCTTAAAAAAGCAGGAAAATGTTCTTTATATCTAAGAAAAACTTTAATGAATTTATAAGTACTATTCCACCGAATAGACAAATCTTTAGGAAAAGCAACATATTTCATGATAAAAGAAATACACCTAAGAGGGGGGGTGAATTAGGTGTCCAAAAATTTGTCTACCAAGTGCAGAAACAAACAGAGGACTATTTAGAAGAGTTGCAAGAGAAAATAAAGAGAAGTGCAAGTGAACAGATTTGTGTGTGCACAAATATACAAAGTAAAGTAAGAAAGCAAGTAAAGTACACAATGATTTATAGAGGTTCGGCTAATCCTACTCCTCTACCTAAGGGCACCTCCCTTAGGATTTCCAAATCCACTAATATGGCCCCCCCTTGAAATCAAGAAGAGCACCACTTAAAGTTTTGGCAAACAAACCCTTGCCAATGGGTGTTGAGTTTTACAAGGGGCTAACTCACAACCTCGTTGGTTTTACAACAGGATCAACCAAAAACCTCTACAAATGGTTTTACAGGAGGATCAACCAAAAACCTCACTACAGTTGGTTTTACAAAGGGTTAACCAACAACCTAAGGATTGGTTTTAGGAAAACCAAACAAAACCTTACAAATGAGTATAAAGTAATACAAGAACAGTTTTTATCTCACTCACAAGCAAGAATATAAAGATTTTATGCTTGACTTGAGTAGAGAATACAATACACAAAAAGATATCAAAAGAATTAATCAGGATCAATGTGAATTGTTCAAACCAAAATAGCTCTCAAAAGATTTCTCAAGTTTTCAAAATATTTGAGAGTGATTGAACTTAAGAGAACACTAAGAATTATGCAAAAAGAGTTTCAAAATATTTAGCACAACAGATTTTATGAAAGAATGAAGAACGAAGTGTATAGAGCTTTTTGAGAATGCTAAAGTGTGTTGCTTGATCGTTCTCTGGTTTACTTGGTGTACTCTTGGTGTATCCAAACGTTTGGGAACTATTTGCAATATATAGGAGAGGATTTTGTATTAATAGATGGAAGGAATAATTCAGAATTAATCACAAGAATAAGTTTGGAAACTGGATCGGAGAAATTAAATTTCCAACAGCCTCAATCGATCCCTAATTTGATTTCCAACGGTCTGAACATATTCTGAAAAAATCCCAGAAATGAAACTCGAGAACCGTACTGATAAGGATGTAAAAGAATGTATATGGAAGGAATTTTAACCAAAGACATGTTGGAAATTTAATGAGAAATGTAGCTCAAATGTTCAACATGATATTTAGAATATTATCTTTAAAAGTGATTTCAAGCTTGAACTATTAAAGATACATATTTCTGAATATTTAAATAAAGTTATTATTATTATATTATTTTATTATTATGGGAACGATTTTTTTAGGACTCATAATAATAATAATAATAATATGTTTAATAATAATGAAACGGTGCTAGTGTACGGCTATGTTGGTTGAAATCACTAACCAACATTTTTATCATCCTTATCCTCTAACCAACATTTTTATACTTTCGTATTTAAATGAAAAGTGCCATGGGAGGATATGCTTCATTATTCTATAGCTGTATGCGAACCATCATGACTATCTGAGAAGTTACGAACTTTCAGATTTTCAACTATATAAATTAGTTGATGATGTTGAACAAAAGTGATCTTACGATGTGCAAAAAATTGATAAGCCAATTTTGATCGCATGCTTGCTATTACTCCATTTTATTATCTGCAGTAATAAAATAAAAGTACTTAGACTACTTTGCACACATATCACTTGTTCGGTGTTATTTTATCGGTAACTAAAATACACCATACACCTTCTTTTTATCCCAAAAGTTCTATCTTGTAACCCGGTTACTGTTATAAGGGTAGATAGTAAACTTTTAGGAAAGCGTATTTAATACGTGACTAGAAGTGATATCTGGTTCAACCATATTTCACACCCTTATAATTCACTATTTTTATCCTCCGTTTCTAACAATCTAAAAGTTTACTATTCCGAAATTATGGCCGCTACTCAACGTGATATCAACACCAAATTTCAAAAATTGGAAAAGTTTGAAGGTGTGGAGTTTCGAAGATGGCAGAAAAGATGCATTTTCTGCTCACTACTTTGAAAGTGGTTTATGTGTTAAGCACCCCGAGGCCGCCCGAGGATGATGAAAACGAGACTTTGGAAACAAGCTGCCGCCGCATAAAGTGGGACAATGATGACTATATCTGTCGTGGGCACATTTTGAACGGTATGTGTGATTCTCTATTTGACGTGTATCAAAATGTTGAATATGCTAAAACGTTGTGGGAGTCCCTAGAATCTAAGTACATGACCGAGGATGCTTCGAGTAAGAAATTTCTCATTAGTAACTTTAATAGTTACAAAATGGTTGATTCCCGTCCGGTCATGGAACAATTTCATGAAATTCAACGTTTATATGATCAACTTTTGATACACAACATGCATGTCAATGAAACCTTTGCGGTCGGTTCTATAATCGACAAATTACCCCCTTCATGGAAGGAAGTGAAAAATAGCCTCAAACGCAAAAAGGAGGATTTGTCAATGGAGCAACTTGGTCGCCGACTTCAAATTGAAGAAGGCATTAAGTTGCGTGAAGATGACAATGGTAAAAAGAACGACCTTCCGATTTCCTCTATAAATGTTATGGAGGAGGGACAATCAAGTGGGACTAAGAAAAATAAAAAAGGTCCCGGGAAATTCACCAAAGGTTCCAAGTTTCAAAAGAAGCCGAAAAATAAGAAAGTAGGCTCTTGTTGGGAATGTGGTGGTCCACACTTCAAGAGGGACTGCCCGAAGGTGAAGAAGAAGAAGACCCAAACGAACGGTCATCCTAACGGTGGCCAAGACAACCAAGGTCAGAATATTTTTGTAGTTACAAATGATGTTGATAACAACATGATTTTTGTAGCTATGCTTTCTGAAATTTGTGTTGTGCAGGATGATGAATCTTGGTGGATCGACACCGGAGCGACAATGCATGTATGCAAAGATAGGCAAACCTTTAAGACTCTAAAAGAGTTGGAAGAGGGGCCGATCTTATACATGGGAAAATATTCTACTGTGCAAATTCAAGGAATTGGCCAAGTAGAGTTGGAATTAACTTCCGGGAAGAAATTAATTCTTAATGATGTGTACTTTGTACCACAAATCCGGAAAAATCTTGTCTCCGGTGGCATCCTAAATAACTTTGGGTTTAAACTTAGCTTTGAAGCAAATAAGTTTATTTTATCTAAGGGTGGTGTATTTGTAGGCCAAGGTGTCTATTGTAATGGCATGTTCAAACTAAGTGTTATAAATAAAGTTGTTAATTCCGTTTATATGGTTTGTGATTCTTCTTTGTGGCACAATAGGTTATGTCATGTTAATTATCGTAGATTAAGTGACATTTCTAAAGTAGGATTAATTCCTCCTTTTAATATTAACATAGAAAAATGTAGAACTTGCATGTTAAATAAAATCAC